CGCATTCCGTTTAGATTGTTTGAAATTGAAGAGCCTGAACATTATGGTTGGTACAAAACAGTTTCTTTTTTTCGGTGGCCAAAATGGATTTCTCTCAACTAGTTTAGCCATTAACCTCCGAAATCGTTTTGGTGTAGAAATAAATTATATTATATTTAATTGTTTTTGGTTTGACGTTGGAAACGAACCTAGGCGACAACAGGTTGAAGAATTTTTTTTTAATGTACCTTTCGTTATCGTAATAAAAAGACATAATTGTTGAGAGTCGGTCTTTTCGGTGAGTGTGTTACAAAAACGCTTATGAGTCTAGTAGCAACTTGGTGACCCAAAGCTATAGCAATACATGTTGTGTGCGCCGTTCGCATCTTTTGAAGAAAAAGAGTCAATCTTTTCATCTAGGCGAAAATGAAATAAATCGGTTAAGAAATAAGTAGAATTTGCGAAAAACAACTATTGCCCCATTTAAAGACGAATGTTCCCATTTTTTTTTTCAAGCATAATTTTACGGCTAATACACATTCGGATTCTTTCCATTTTTCAGAGAGAATGAATTATTATTTGCTGTTCATCGCACTTCGTTATAACATTTAATGTTCAACTGTAGATATGAAATCATAATTGAAATAATTGCATCAAACACACACACACACACACACAAGATTCAGTGCTGTTAAGGCGATTTCGATTTAATCCACATTAATTGCTCCAGTTGCAATACTAAATCCAACATACAGTACCTTACGAATAAAAAATTGCGCACTGTCGTTTGGTTTAAGTTTAAAAAGTTTCGTGCGAATAACAACGACACAGGAATTTAATTGCACAATGTTTAAAGCAACTCTCGTATTACATTCTTTTGGCCATGATGGCGTTCTCCTTAATCCGTTTGTTGTTGTTGTTGTTTTTATCTCTCAACGCATTCGACTGTGAATGTGGCATTTTCGATTGATGCACTCAACAAAGAACGAAACAATCCAAAAGAGTTACCATGTATTCCATTGAGTTGGTGCTATTAATTCGTTATTACATAAAATGTTTGTCTATGACACGACAACGACAATGTACAGCTCACCGTATGAACTGCTGAATGTAAAATACTGATTGCAACGGCGAAAATGTTTAAAATGATTTCGATCTTTGACGAAAGAAGAAAAAATGTGAACAGAAAAACATTTAAGTAAAGTTGAAGATGATTTTCTTTTGATGTGCCATTTTTTACAGTACGCGCAGGTAAAGTCTCATCAAAAACATTGCATTCGCACATTCTTCTCTCGTATGTATGTTTTCATCAGATTTATTACGCTTTATAGTGATAAATGTCGCATTACTATCTCAAAATCCATGCACAAAAATTACTTCAAACTATAATTAACTGCATTTTTTGCGATGAACTATGTTTTCATCATCAATTAAAGGCACATTCCTGAACAGGATGCAAAAGAAATACATGACATTTTCACAGAACTCATGACATAACACGAATCTTTTTATTTCGCAATTGTGAGGTGATCGCTTTATTTGTTATTACAGAAGAAAAGTTAAGAAAATCATAAGAAAGCACCTTGCACCATCATCTATTTCGATTACATTAAAAAAAAGAGTGTATAAAATTAACGAATATGGTTGTGCGGGCCATTTCGCCCACACTACTTTTATCGATCGTATAAATCTATCCCAAAAGGTGTTCATTTAAATTCAAATTATTCACGCAAATCAATTTACGTTTTTTGTTCGGAAGATCGATTTTGATGCTGAAATGGACCGATTGTGAAATAATTTTAAGCGTAAAAAAACTATGAACATGATCATTATTATATGTCCCATAATGTGATGTCTAGCTAAATAATTGAATCTTAAACTCCAAAATAATATGCTAACAATGATATTTCCGTATGAAAATTATAAGTGGATGCAGAAAATGATGATGAATTTTGTTATGGTTATAAAATAGATGAAACCAATATTGAATTGGTTAGTGCATATTAGATTATGTTGTTGGGAGATTAACTCCCAGCGCTCAATAATTTCATCTAATACGATATAAAAATGGAAATGTCGGCAATCAACTCTAATAAAAACCATCAATATACAGAATATTTAGTTCGATACATCTAATTTGATTACTGAAAAACATAAAAAAATTCAATAATGAATATATTCTAATAAGCAGATTTCTTTTTATGTCTTGTTCATCGCTGTGCGTTCTTCGTTGAAATTTTTTTTTTATCTTTTTGAAAGAAAACTATAGAGTAAAAACACAGTCATAATATCATCCATATTTCAAAGATAAACATCGGCACTGAAAAAGTAATATTCAAATAAAAAGCGATAAAAATGGTATTCATACTTTAGACGATGTGGAAAACAAGCAATCTTCTGCTGAAATCGATATAATGGAACTGGCCAAACACACAAATTGATGAAATCTTCGTATGGTTGGGATTAAGACGGCGGTGACGGCGAACGGTTAACAGAAATGGTTTGTGCACAGGAAATATTGAAACAAGTATCATCATCATCAATTCAATAATACACACGAACACGCCTAGTCATCATCGAGGGTTTCGAGCAAGATAAGCATTCATAAAAATTGTCACCTTGCAAAATTTATATTTAATTAAATTATTTTTACGATATGATTTTATTCAATGGGCAGAAGGACAGAGGGAGAAAGACAATCACTGAATAAGCGATAATCTTAGTCGGACTGTCTCTCTCATCAGCATGCGTACGCATGCCGTTGTCGATGATTATTGTTATTTTGCATTTGGAGATTTAGTTTTTTTTATTAAATTCACGGTAAATCTACGGTAAAAGGCAACCCACTCACCTACAATACCAACAACAATAAAAAAAGAGAGAAAAATTCATCCAAAAGTTGCCTATATTACTTATAGAGGTTAACGCAAATATATGGTCCATATAACCAATTCTATTAAAATGCGATCGATTGAAGACCACTCAAGCGGTTGGCACATTAAAATGCCATCACCGCAGAGAGGTACATTACACACGCAAATGAATCGATATTATTGTATTATGGACACGTGAGCCATGATCGTACATTGCGCTTACCACAGGTACAACAATTTTTTGTCAACGGAAATCGGATGGAGACGCGGTACGGAACACATGTGGTGGATCCAAGTTAAAAAGCAATCTTTATTATTATCATAACAATAAACAAAGCCAATGATTATCGACTTTAATAAAATTCCAATAAAATGCGGATGAAGCGACAACGCTTACAATTCAAAGATCGTTGTGCTCACTCTCTTCTCATTGAAATTCGAACAACACCAAAAATGTATTGTAATGGCATCGAGATGGATGCGAATGAATGAAGGAGACAGACGGGGAACAAAAATTCATTGAAATAAAAAGAATTTATGGTGCAAAAAAATATTAATATAAATGAAAACAAACTAACAACAACGGCGACGATGACCAAAAACCAACACGTCGGAGTGCCACACGCAAATAACGAAACTGTGCTTAAAATTTTCTGTAGACTTTTTTTTCTCTCTTTTGTTGATTTTATAGAAGAAAAAAAAACATATACCGAAAAAGACATAAAATCGATGTTAAATGAATGAAAAAAAAAACAGCCAAAAACAGAATCCGCCAACAACAACAACAAAACGCCATCGAACAAACAGGCACATTTTGAAAACACATCGAAAATCGATAAATTATTAGGTGTTGGACAAATGTGGCATGAATGTGACCGCAAGAGGTACAATAATAGGTGAAACAGCTAACAATATCATAATAAAATCGAATATCATATGGATGTGCGCGCGCGATGAATGTATGAGCGCGCAAAATTTGTCGGTTCACCGTCTCCAAAAGTGATCAAAAATCACTTTGTAAATGCATTTTAAGTATGGCTCTAGGTGTACGCATCATCGTCCAACACATATCGATCAAGAATCGATTTGAGGAACGGAAAACATGAAAAAAGAGAAAGAAAAAAAGAACGAAAGACGACCGAATAAAAGTGAATAGTGTATGGATCATTTCAGAGTTGCTGTTTTTTGGGAGTGTTTACATTCGTTTTGACCAGTCTTCTTTTGTGTGTGAATTTGTTGGTATCTCATTCCGGTTATTTATGATCTTTATTAGAATCGATAATCGGAAACACGCCATAAATTATACGCGCATATATTTGAAACAAGTCATCTGTATGCATATTCACTTATTATTATATATGCCTTGTTCCTCCCTCCATTCAGTTTCGAAATCGGATATATTTATCAAAAAAAATACGAAAAAGTCACAATTAAAATGAAGTACGGCAAAGCAAAGAGTCACCATTAAATCAATCAAATATTCTCTACCTGATATTAAATGATTAGAAAGATTTGTTTCTCTCTCTTTTCAATTAACCGTGAAATCGGTAAATCTCGGCCGAACAAATTGTTTCGCGGTATTGCTCACCTGCGGTCACACGAAACCACTGCCATATATAACTCAGATAACCAAACACATTGGCATTCAGATAAATAGCAAGTGACACGAAGAACTGCCTCCAAGTTGTGATTTCAGTGATCTTCAGGTAAATTAATATTCTCGTTGATTTGTATTTGAACGAAACGTAGAGAAACATAGAAAGAGAAGCGCAAAGTAAACGCCACCGATCATTTACTCACACTCACTCGCGTGAGCACACACATTTAAATACAGCCTATTAAAAATCGTCCCCATCTCAGCTCTCAAATCGATGCTGTAAGCTGTACATGTAATCTCTGTATCATTTTGTCACTCGCGCACATTGCGAACACCTTAAATGCTATGACGAACCAATGCTGGTGTGTAAGAGACAAAGTTAACGAATATTGTGAAGGCACAAACAGAAAACAAATAACATAAAGTCACAAGAAATAAACATCTCTTTCTCTCAATTGCCATATCATGATTGTGACGACGATGACGATGATGATGATGATGGTGATCATCGAAGAGCGATTTAGTTTATAACTTGATGGTCACCTATCGAGTTGAGCCATTTCACATTTTCCCGTCGTCCGTGCACGACGTGCGTTCATAATCGCAAATGGTACACCGTGACCGATCAAAGTAAATCGCCTAATTCTATGTGAAGGCACAAGTAATTGTTAACGACGTAAATGCTATCAATTAGAACGGCTCCTGCAGTGTTAAGAAAAGCATTTAGCTGATTATTACGAAGAACGGAACGTAATAAAAATAGAAGAAGAAAAAATATTACATAAAACCGTTGTGTAAGTGTGTAGTATAAAAAAGTGTGCAAATTTAAGTGTGTTTGATCCTTTAAAAAAGCGACAATATAAACGAATGTGAATATAAACGGGGAAAAGCGTCGGGCATTCAACAGCATAGATGTGTGTTTGGTGCGATTCGAAAATGGGATTCAAACGTGTGATGTTGAATCGTTTGCAAATTGGAAGTGAAAATAAGACATTGATAATGGATGAAAACAATGATGCAAATAATGATGGCAATCGTAAGCACACTGATTTTAGCATCGATAAAATCCTAAGCGATAATCAAAACTCATCAAAAAGTCCACCAACAAATACGGTGGCCGGCGATCGTTTATATCAAAAAATCAACAATGATTATGCATATTGGAATTGGAATCGTCGAATTTATCCGCCACCAATTTCAATGGTACATCCCCGTCGCTCTGCATTTTTACCAACCGCTTCGACCGTTACATCGGCCACCGCACATTATGAAATCATGAACTTATCGCTACGAATGTACGATCAACAAATCAATTTAAGTAATGTCGATCGCATTCGAAATGCATACGCTTGGGCATTGCCATCACAGTCACCAACAAAACTCTATGAATCACAAATGTTTTTGAATAATAACAATAACAACAACCATACAAACAACAATATCAATGATATTATCACCGAACCAAGTGCATTACAATACAATAGTAAATTTTCCATTTATCAAAATCTCAAAACGTATGGCATCGATCTGACCAATTTAAGTGAATTCAATGCTCAAGTGAATTCAAGCGTTACGGCAACCACAATCAAATCAGAACCACTAACACCCGAAAATTGTGCGGTCGCCACAAATTTGGCATGCTCCGTATGCAATAAAGTTTTTGAAAATCCACTCATTTTAGATGCACACGAACGAACACACAAATCACCACGATACACATGTGATGAATGCGGCAAGGGATTTTCCCAATTACGTAACTACAAATATCATGTATCGGTGCACAAGGGAACAAAGGAATTTGCAGCCAAATGCCCGGAATGCGATAAATTGTTCAACGACAAAGGCTATTTAAGTAGCCACTTGAAAATTCATCGCAATAAAAAGGAGTACGTGTGCCCAAGCTGCCCCAAATCATTTAACCAAAGAGTTGCATTCAATATGCATGTTCGAATGTAAGTACACTTTTTACACACAGATGTTGCTTAAAATGAAATGCAAAATAGTGACTGATCCAAAAATTTATTTATTTATTTTTTCTTTTGCTTCTTTGGAATATAGCCACTCTGGCGTTAAGGTGAGCTGAATTTTTATCAAAAAATTTCCGTTCTTTTTTTAAAACAATTATTGTGTTTTCGTATTTCAGCCCCATAAGTGCAACGAGTGCGGCAAGTCATTCTCTCGAAAAATGCTGTTGAAGCAACATTTGAGAACGCACAGGTACTATTATTATAATTTTAATTATTTTTCGAGCGTGCAAATAATACGTTTTCTTTCGTAATTTTATTTACAGCGGGGAGAAACCCTATCAATGTTCAATATGCATGAAAAGTTTTGCCGATAGAAGCAATATGACGGTAAGTTTTATTTTTCGGGATTTTTTTAAATTATGAACAATTTTTTGTATGCAAAAAAATCGCATTTTCTTACTTAAATTTAAAAAAACGCAGTTACACCAACGCTTACACTCAGGAATTAAACCATTCGCGTGCACTATTTGTCCGAAGGCTTTCACGAAAAAGCACCATTTAAAGGTAATTTTTTCATTGATTTGTAATTCAACATTTGGAACCGAGTCGTATTAATTTTCTTTCATTTAGACTCATCTGAATTACCACATCGGTTGTAAGCCGTATATCTGTCCCCATCCTAACTGTAACAAATCATTTACTCAATCGAGCAATATGCGAACACATTCACGTAAATGTGAATTCAAACCACCCGAACAACAAATTTAGGAAAATTAACACTATATTATTTCGATGTAAACCAGTTTTTAACAAGATAAAAATACATTAATTTATTTTTTTGCAAATATTCAAGCATTTTACCAAGTATTTATTATAATATTGATTTGTGGATAAGAGATGATAAATTATAAACTTGTGTGAACTTTAAAAATCGTATTTGTTTTGATTATAATGATAAGTGATAAGATTATATGAGATAACTTATATCTCTTCGGTTTTAATTGGTTTCACGTTAAAATAAACACCGTCTTTGGGTGATAAAACAATCGGACTGGATGAAAAAATCATTGGAATAGGTGTTTGTGAACAAGTTGAAAATTCAAAATTGCTCAATAGGGTGATTAACCCGATGCGTGTTTGCATCATGCCAAATCGAAGTGCAATACAATTTCTTGGACCTTCGCCAAAAGCAAGCCAGGTCATTGGATGACGTTTCTTCATTTCTTCGTCGGAAAATCGATCGGGATTGTAGATTTCTGGATTTTCATAGTAATCTGGATCATTGTGAATGGCGAAAACGGGTACCACCACTGACATTCCCTTTTCAATTACAATATCGGAATCGGCCACCTTGTAATCCCTTTGAGCCGTTCGACGCAATGTCGTAAATGGTGGGTATTTTCTTAGTGTTTCTGAATGAAATAAAAATAAAAGATATTATTATTTTTTAAAATGAAGTAAAATGTCATGATTCTATGTACCTTTAATTGTTTGTTCAAGATACGGAATGTCCATCATCATTTCGTAGGTAAATTCACCGTGTTTTCTCATCGCATTTTGAATTTCATGCCGGACTTTCTTCTGCACATCTTGATTCAAAGCCAATTCATAAAGTGTGAATAACATCGTAGTGCTTGACGTTTCATAACCAGCAACGAAAAATAAAAACGATTGTGCGGCTATTTGGTTTACAGTCAATCCTTTGCTTACATCACCATCATTATTTTCGTTCTTAAGTTTTATGAGTAAATCCATGAAATCGTTTCGTTGGATATTGTTTTTTTCTCGATACCCAATCGTATTTCGAACAACATCGATAAAAAATGTGGATACCTCATCTCGAATGGTTTTTATGCCCAAGAAACGTGCCAATCGCTTATAATCATTAAGCAAGAACGAAATTCGTGGATTATGTCTTGGTTTTTGTATCGCCATCCGGCCCATGCGATAGAAATCATTGTCAATATCTTTTAATGTATTGCACTCAATTCCGAATGCACAATTACCAATAACATCCATTGTGAACCGTGCCAAAATATTCTTCATTTCTAACACATCGTTTAATTTGTTGGCATCATTCAAATAATCTATAAGACGATCGCCAATAGCCGTAATTGTTGGAAACATATATTTCATTTTGCCAGAAGAGAAGGTTGGCGTGAGTTTGCTTCGAACTTCTTTCCACTTTTTTCCATCGAGTGCCACCAAGTGAGCAGACAACGGATCGTCTTTCTCATTGTAATAAAAACTTCGATCATTAAATATGGCAAAATCTTTCACAAGAATATGTTTTATCAAATCTAAATCGAGCAGCAACGCAATTGGTCGTGTGAAAAAATAGATTCCACAAAATTTTGATGTTCCTTTGAATTGCGTGTAGTAAGTTTGGGTGAAGTGAACAAATGATATTATTTTTCCTAGTCCTTTTATATTGCCGTAAGGTATGAGTGGTTCATTGCACGGAATATTTCTTGATTGCCAATATGAAAATGATTTTTTTAGGTACCAATAGATCACTGAAACCAATATTATTAATACCGCAACTAGACCATTTAACACTGACATTTTACAAACTAAAAATGGAAATACATTTAGCACAAAGACTCTTTGCAAACTAACATCTGAATATAATCTGACACTTATATTGGAATATTGTTTATCATATGAAAATTCAATTGACGATGACAGATAGTTAGTTTGACTGTAAATGTATGGGTGAGGTCACATGATACCGTACTAGTGTCACTGAATACTAAAGTACACGAAGTTAAGAAAAACGAAGATCTTATCGCTTTCTTTTAACTCAATGATTATTTCGTTGGTCTTGTTCCATTCTCCTTCGTGCGTCTTAAAAAACAGAATTTTACTGCAAATTATTGCGATATGATATATATTAATTTGTTTGCAAAATATCCGACTATCACTACGTTAGAGATATGTTGAATACATTAAAATGGTAGGAAAAAATGAGATATTAAGCAAATCTTCAATTCAACACTATAATGCAATTGATTTTACAAATTTCACCCATCGGCCCCAAAGTTAACGCTGTTAAGTGTGCAAACCATTCGCCAACACTTTTAATACAATTGCAAACAATAACACGACGTACTCAAACCACCCAGATTAAAACTTGCTGTTTTAAAATCAAGCAAACGGTCTTTTGCCACACAGTCAAAGTTATTTCGATCCATATCAGATACAAAGTCTATACTTATATCGATGGCACATGACACAATTGTACAGGCTCGTTTCAACAACAGCTGTCAATAAATCATGTCTTAAACAACGTTATTTGAAAGAAATGATAACTGATTACGATACTGCTACAAAAAGTAAAAAAAAAAAACAAGAATCAGAATGAACTGAAATATCTTTTAAGCACGAAGAAAATATTACGATGCGAAAAAATGTTCTACTCAGAAGAATTTCATTCAACTTATTATTTATTCATAACTCTAGTTATGTTATGGAATCACAATCAATTCAATTCAATAAACTTAACCGAAATGAAATGGTTTCAAAAGTATTATTTTAAATTCATATTTCAATTCGGTTTCTTCTATCTGTCAAAAGATGGCGTTAGCCATATCTGAGTTGAAAGTACATTCAATTTTATTCTCAACCGAAATGAACTGACATTAGGTGTTTATGTCATTTTCAAACGATATATTTTTGTTTGTAAAATTCATAAGCAAGTGGAAGTTATTTTCTACTCCAAAGACAAATACATATGACTTATGGGACTTCACTGGTCTTTTGATGGTAATATCATTTAATTTATTAATCAAATAACATATCATTGAATACAAACTCTTCGCTTTTCTGATCAACTTAGAATTCGATATCACGTTAGATGAACGTGGCCTGTTTTCGGACGAGAAGGACCGAAATGAACTTTGTTCGATTTAGGTGAGTTCAAAAAAGCGAAGCAATAAATAAAATTGCTGAGAAAAATACGAAGAAGAATTCACGTCATCGTCCAACCAAAATTTAATAGAATAATTCAACATAATTGCCGAATTCATATAAAATAAATGAAACAAATTGGCATGAATTAGAGAGTCCTAAATATGTATGATTGTGGTGCTAATAATAGTGGCACATATGAAACTCGTATGTAATGATTAATTTCATTAAGAATTATTCACGGCATTTTGCATTTTTAATTTAAATAATGTTGATATTATGTCGGCGCAAATGTTCGTTTTATTATTTGTAAATTGATTTGACCAAAATCACAAATATGTCTCTAGACTAGAAATTGTTATCGTTTCCATTTTTTGTCATCGCTAATATTCAATTTAGAATTGAATGCACTAATAAAATGACAACAATTCAAAATTTAAGAGTTGAATAAAAATAGGCAATTCAAATCATGATGTGTTTATTGAAGACAATCAAAAAATGCAAATCGGCAAAAAAAATCCATTGCCTAAATTCGTAAACACAATTGATTTCTCTTTATTTTGAGTCAATTTGATTTTGATTTTTTTTTTACTTGTTTCATGTGCTGCGTATCACGTAAGACATTACGCTACGAATGCATTGAGGAAGAAGCCATATACAAATATGGAACAGGGAAAGTCACACACAGTCACATAAACATATGGTTTGACGGGTTAGTGAACGCCAAATAAACGGAGCTATATGTGATTTGTTTATAGTGAAGAGAGAATGCCGCGTAAATTCGTTCTACCAAATAATATGTGAAAATGTATGCATAGAGAATACCATAATGAAGTACGATACCCGGTTTGGTATCGTTAACGTATCCAATCATTATTTATAATCGGAAATATTTTAAAAATTAAAATCTAATCGGCGTCTATTCGATATTTACATATACCGGCTTTTATACATATTTATCAGTTTATAATGCTTTCGTTGTATAAATTGTGTGCGGCATTAACGTCATATAAACCAATCTGAACATATTCTAATCATTTAAATTGATTTGAGAGCCTCATCATGTTTTGAAAATCGTAATTTCATTTGAAATTATTCTCAATCATTTTCCCAATGGAACGAACAAAAGAGTGAAGAATTTCATTAATCATGCCATCCATATTGAATGTACCATATAATTCAATAGAAAATTCTCAACTATTTTCCATCGATGCTCTCATGGAAAAAGAATGTAAATCTTTGGCACATGAGGTACTAATAATATTTTTTCTCGATATTTTTTTTTTCTTTCATACAATATTTAGTTTCATCTTAGCTTGACCCATTTTTAAGTATTTGAAATGAGAGACAGACACGGAGAGAGAGAAATATGTTTATTTTCAACAGTTTACAGCAGTGAATTACATAGAACGTATGTAATGTAAACAAAGCACTGAACTTGCATTACATCAGCGTGAGGCAATTTTTGTCAAATGAGTGAAATCGACAATATTTTTGATTTGAAACTTCTAATTCAATGCACACTGATTGCATGACGTCAATAACGGCAGTCTATTTAAATGGAATTAAAAATGTATCAATCGATGTAATTATTAATTTTCTGCACTACATTGATAGACATGATGATTGAAAAAGAATTCATCTTGATAAAAAAATAATAATATAGATAGTGTGTGTCATACGCATGGTATATATGACGCACCGTGACGCATAACCTCACGTACACTATTTTTGTTTTTATTCCAATGGTTTTTTTTTTTGCATCCCATATGGATATGTAGCGTGCTTGGCGTTAGCTCCGCATGTCATACTTGCGCTGCCACACATCTACGCGCCTTTTCCAATAGAAGCGGGTAGTAGAAAATTCAATCGGCATCGGTCAGCATTGACTTGCTGAACACGGCAAGCTGAAGACACGCGATTTTGTCATTGAGTTTCTTAGTTGCGAGAAAGAAAGAAAAGTTCTTTTTTTATCGCTCTACGTGAGTGTAGTGAAAGTGAGTTTATTTTTGCCATAATCTATAAGTGCATTACATATTTTGTTTAATCACACAAAGCAGACAAGAAGAATAATGTTTTTGTATCATCTTGACTTTGTTGATTAACGTTATCGAAACTGAAGTGTTAATCGAAGCCAAAACAAGCTATTTTTAAACTGTTTCGTTTCAAAATACAGTCTCCTCAAAAATACTTATCGTCTGCATAATTTCATATAAAAAAATTGCACATTAATTAATTGAAATTTATTTTAATTTGTGTGATTTATTTTTGGTTCCAGAGTTTAACCGATAGAAATGACCGACAGGGTTCCGTGTAGAGGAAATGTACTGGGCAGTGAGTATTTTGTTATCTAAAATTAAATAGATGTTCTTATAAAAAAAACCGCAAGTGAATTAATAATGTCGGTTTTAAGAAGTGGAAATTAAATTCACCAAAAAAATTCAAACAATTTATGTATGTATGCCGACAAATGATTGCATCCAAATTCAAATGAGTTTCGTCATTCTAAAAATCTATTTCTTTTAATTTGCGACAACAGATAAAAGACGCCTTCACATATTACCGCACATAATTATGTTCGATTCAAAATTGGATTTTGCAATTTATGGAAAAAATTTCGGCTGGTATGTTTGATTGTACATCATAAATAGAGAAAAGACTCCACTCAAGGTCGTATAAAGGTTGTATCACCGAATATTGTTTCTGTGAAGCGCGCTATCACACTGTACGTCTATATGGTATCGCCTCGGTTTATCCTAACGCGTACTGTGTGCTCGGCCGTATAATATTTCGCACGGTCCATACAAATACAGCTGTTTGTTCAGCATTTTTTACATTATTTTCATATCGACTGCCTTCTCAATATGAACTTGAATTTCTCAATAGCGCTCAATATATATTGAGGCGAATATTCTTAATGATCGAAAAAAATGAAACAAGGTGTGTTTCGATTAAATTATGTAGGAGAAAATGTTCAACATTTTAAAAAGATGGAATGGAACAAATTCAATTGTTTTTCACACTTTCTTATACTTGTTCACTGAAAGAGACAGTAAGTGCCACACTTTTTGCAATTGATCCAGAAAAATTATGACGTTCAATTTAAAATTCAATTAACTTTACGAGAGAAAGAGAGAAAGTGAGAGAGGGAGAGGGAAAGTGATAAAAAGTGAAAGTTTTCGACGTTTACTGAAGATGTGGCAAAGAGCCTGAGATGTTCATTTTTCCCCTTGAATTCACATAAGTTAATTTCGGAGAGACGTTGGCTTTGCGCCAACCATACGAACAAAAAACCATAAAATGCAACAGTTTACGATAGTTCATTGCTTAATCATTGTGTTTTTGGGGCCATTTATTTGGACTCATTGTCTTCGTACGTTCGGATATCCACCTTTTGGAATTGAATCCAATAAAATAGAATTAGAATTCAAGCAAACATTGTATGAAAGTTTAGATACTTAAAAGCATGTCGAATGAATAAGAATTATGCAATATGCAATTTGAGACGTTTGCTCGGCGTTTCCATTAATTTTCAACGAGTTATTTATGTAACCATTAAAATAACAATGATTCTATTTTCAATTAGAATTTATGCCTGCCCGGTACATTTTGGCAGTTTTGGGTTCAATCGCAATGGCCATTGTTTACGGATTGAAGGTGAATTTAAGTGTTGCCATGGTCGCTATGTTAAATCACACTGCAATTAGTGCTGCTGGTGCTCATAATGTCACATCAAACATAGCATCAAACTTGACAGATGAGTGTGGCAGTGACGCTGAATCGGGTCCACCCGAGGTAATTCCATAAATTATAGAACTATGAACAAGTGAATCAATTATTGTATGAAAATGTCTAAAATGAAATTTATGGCTAACAATAAATAGAAAAAGCGCATATCCAACTAGATGAATGAAGAAAAAGATCATGTAACTCGCTAAAATGTAATATATGGAAATAGATAGGTTTATTATATTTGCTGCACATTCTTTGGCGCTAATATTGGAAACATAAGTTTTGCTGTATCAACACATTTAAGAATGCATGCAAAAAATAATTTATCAAAATGTCGCGTAAAGCGTACGCAATATACTACAGTGATAACGCAATCCAATTTACTTGTCATACATACAAGCGTGTGTGACGTTCACTCTTTATCTTCATTCGTTCAAAATGCCATACATGGACTTAGATTAATGTTGTTAACTTTAAATGAATTGCTGCTTTTCAGATTGCTTTGCATGCAAAAAATAATTTATTTTTGTCGATTATTTACAGGATGGACCATTCAATTGGAGCGAACCATTACAAGGAACAATACTTAGCTGGTGAATATTAGCATATTTAAAATGAATTTGATTTGTATTTTTTTTATAACTTTTACTTTTAATTCTTTATAATTCACTTTCAAATGCTATGTAGTTATTTCTGGGGATATTTTGCAAGCCAATTGCCAGGGGCAAGAGTCGCAGAGAAATTCTCTGCCAAATATGTGATGCTTTTCTCAGTGGCCATCAATGTTGTGTGCACCATTCTAACGCCAGTGGCTGCTAAATTTCATTACATTGCCATGATTTTTATGCGTATTGGAGAAGGTATTTGTTGAAAGAAAATAAAATGCATGGAAAGTAACAGTATTCATTTTTTATATACCATTTTAGGTATCGGTGGCGGTGTGACTTTCCCAGCCATGCATGTAATTTTTTCCCTCTTTATTTAAGCCAAATAAGAAGGAACGAAGTATTCGAGAAGCTAAAAAAACAAGCGTATCATATAGAATTTTTATCTCATACATTCATGACGATTCATTTGTATGGCTTCCCGAATAGCTCGCTTTTCCATTATAAATTGTCAATGATTTATTAATTAAAATTAAAATAACTTTATTTTCAATCAGGTAATGCTTGCTGCATGGGCACCAACAACTGAACGATCCACGATGTCCGCTCTTGTGTAAGTGTGCGACAAAATCCAATTTTCCAATGAAAAATGTTATTCGATTTGGATATTTTCGTTATTTAGATATGCGGGTACGTCGCTTGGAACAGTCATGTCTATGCTGTTAGCCGGTATTCTGGCTGGAACACTTGGATGGGAATCAGTTTTTTATGTAAGTGACCTTTTTTTCGACTGTACATATAATTTGTGTTGATAATGCATTTTTTGGATTCAGGTGATGGGTTTCGCAAGTGCAATTTGGATCGTCTTATGGATGTGGTTAGTACAAGGTAACTACGCATTTTTTTTTTTGCAAATTTGTAAACATAAATTGATTTAGTCCTTTTCTTCCTTCGCTTTCTACACATTTTTAAGATACACCATCAAAACAACCGCTCATTTCCCAAGAAGAACGGAATTATATCAATTCATCGTTAGGTAGTAATGAACACGAAGAAGAGAAGCCACCGGTGCCATGGCGCCGAGTCCTTACCTCTGCACCCTTCTTGGCCATATTGGGTATGCATGCTTTTTGAAATACAATGTTTCAAAAGTGTTTTCGTCAAAATTACGATTGGATTTCTTTTTACAGTTGCCCACACTTGTTCAAATTGGGGCTGGTACACATTGCTCATCGAAACCAGTTTTTATTTCAAACAAGTCCTTCACTTCAACATTAAAGAGAATGCCGTCGTATCTGCCATTCCATTTTTAACGATGTGGCTCTTCTCGATGCTCTTGTCCAAAACATTGGATGCGCTTCGGGCTCGTGGTAAAATTTCCACAACATTCGCCCGCAAATTAAGTACACTTATTGCATCAGCCATTCCTATGGTCTGCTTGTTTGCACTGTGCTACATTGGATGCCGTCGAACATTGGCAGTATTTATTATGGGCATTGGTTCGTAGTCAATTTTACACCACAATATTTGAAACCATTTAAGAAAATTAATTAAATTTCATTTTTATTCGATTTTTCTTTAGGAATTACATCGATTGGCGGTATGTTCTGTGGCTTTTTGTCAAATCACATCGATATCGCACCGAATTATGCGGGAACTTTAATGGCGATAACCAACACTGCGGCGACGCTCCCTGGAATAATAATGCCCATTTTCGTTGGTGCTATAACACATGGAAATCAAACAATTGGCGCGTGGCGTGTCATCTTCTTTGTAACAATTGCACTGTACATCATTGAAATTTTCGCGTATACATTCTTTGGATCGGGCGAAGAACAGCCGTGGAATAAGAAACAAGCTCGCGAACTGGTCTCAATCGCTTCAACCAAAGCTGAAAATACTCCACTCAAACAAAACGACAACCGAAACGATTAAACGTCAACCCATGACCAAGTTTTTAATTTAATGGTTTTATAACCACACGTCGTCTATTTAATTGCGAATTTCAGAAAATTCGTTCTACCAAAAAAAAGAAGAAACAAATACATTGTCGTAACACACACACAGTCTCTCTGTTTACAATATCAATGATTTTGTTCAATTTTGGCAGTCGTTGCATTTAATTTTATTTTTGTTGAAAATAGTTAGTGTCTGTCCAGCCATGAGACAAATTGTGCATGTATTTTTTTGTAAAATAAAATAAAATTGAGTATTTTCGTTTTAAATAGGTAAATAAGAGAATTTTTGAATGTGGTTCTTATACTCTAAATTACTTTCTCGCTGTCTATTGGTAAATCCATATATGCATATATAAAAAAATGAATGTATCAATGTAACGTACTCATTCTCATCCTCAACAAATTTCGATTTATTTTTCTTTCATAAATTCGATCGATTTGTAAATACAACAGTCTTACCAAATTTATCCCCAAATAATTTAGCATGTCACGACACACTTGAAAATCAATCGAAAATAATTAAATTGAAAGTAGAAAAATACGGGCCAAACTGTAATCTTTTCTGATTTTTTTTATACATATATACATCCCTTATTCAATTACCTATCATATTAATTAGTGCTTTTTATTCTGTGCAGAAAATCGATGTATAAATGCTTCAATGGAGAAAGCAGAAATTAAATAAAGAAGTGAAATCGTGAAAAACAAACATTTCCATATTTCTATATGAATTATCGAAAATCTCTCAAAATACTTGTTTTCTTCAAATTCAACTGTGTGAAGAAAACTCGCCACTAGCAACAGCGAACTCTATGAGTGAATATCTGAACATAAACCATTTTCATACTTTAATTTAGTGTATTTAATGAATTTTCAAATAAAAAAATCGGTTTTCCTTTGTAAAGATCTTCAGAAAGTGAAATGATTTTGATCTCAAAAATATTTTCGATGATTTTTGAATTCTCCACGTTTATTAAAAAGGTAATTTTAAATCTTTCTGAAACACGGAGAATATCCAATACATGTATAGAGTTTATTGCATTATAAGTTGAAAGTTTTTTTTATTTTAATCGTTACATTAACGGCCTTGTGTCATATCACCAATATTCACTCCTCGAAACGACCAATAGATTTAGTCAAAGAATGAATTTCATTCATAATTCAGCGGTTAGATTTGATAATTCTATCTTTATGCTCTAAATATGAAAATATTAAAAATTAAATGAAATGAAACCGCTAACTCTAACCAATTCAAATCAAATGAAATAAAAACACCATTATATTGAGATAGCAAAATGAACTTATTTAATATCCATCTTTTGTATGCAACACGACTAAAAAACAAATTCAAAATACATACCATCGTCAAATCAATAATCATAAAAGTGCAAACAAAAAAAAAAAAAAAAAAAAACAAAAAAAACTTATATATATCTTACTCTTTCATTTTTCTTTTTTTTTAAATGCCGACGGTAATACACACGTAGTTCGTTTTTACTTTTCCGCACACACCTAGTGTGTAAGGGGAAAATATTGCAATTAGTCAAAATTTACGACATCTTAAAAACATGTTTTCTGGACGTTTTTGAGGTCAGAGAACACGAATCAAGCCGTTTTGAGCATGGTTGTTGTGGGTCTGTTCCACGTTGTACGTTGTCCGCCGTACGCAAAATTTGTTAACACAATAACTCTCCCCCCAAAAGGAGGAATAGAAATCATTAGATTTTGAGCGACTTTGGTTGATGGAAAAAAATTTCATGCCTGGAGTGATACCTATGAAAAAGAGTCCAATTTTCGTCAAAAAGTCATACTTAATGTAGACTTAAACACTCAAAAATATGTATTGGGGAGTTTTTTGGCGCGAGAAAACCGAATCCGAGGTTAGTTTTGAGATACAATCAATTTTTGATACAGTTTCCTTGAAAAAATCACATATGCATTTTTGTATAGGAGCCATGCCTGTATGCTACCTTAATGACGTGAAACTGTGCACAGACTATTTTTCACACAAAAAAATAACATTCTGGAAGTTTGAAGAGATTTCAATCAAAATTAGGAGGAAAGGCTTGAAAAATCGAACAAATATTATTTTGAACTAGCTTAATAAAATACGCAACTACCACCGTGCGGAAAAGTTCGTCTTACTCCCGTAAGACTCTTTATTTTGTTTGCACTTTTATGATTTATTTGCACTTTTTTATTTGATTTGAATGAAAATATTAGTTTCACAAATCGAAATCTTTTTTTGATTCTGTAATATGCTAAGTAGTAGTCAATATATGCCCGATAATGGATGAATTTGTGCCAACAATTGTTCCTTGGGTTCCTCTTAAGTAGTAGTCAATATATGATTTCGGTATTGAAAACAAAATCAAACTTATTGAAATGAAGCCAATTTGAATTTATATGGTTTTCAAGAATATCTAATTAATCAGTTTATTAAATATATCGATACGATTGTGTTAGGTTAATATATACACTTTTCACGTCAGATATAAGAAACTACCAATATCTCACAATTGAACATTTTTATACTAAATGACTTCGACGAGAGTCGAAATGCATTCAGTTATTTTTCAATAACTCCATGTAAAATTAATATGGTGTATTCAATTTTTGAAATTTCATTGATACTAATACCTCTTCGAAAACTTTGAGTGACTGTGTTATTCGGCGAGAAAACAACGACCTGAAATTATAACAAATCATATTGTCAGTTTGACCTTGGCGACTTCTACAACGCAATATTTTGATTTTTTATTCCATAAAAATATAGCAGGTAAGGCTTCCCACGAATACGGTGCCACCAGGCAACCAAAGTCCAGTGAGACGAAAAATGGAACGAAGGTGGTTGCATCATCAAATGGTAAATGTCACTGTCCATCGAACAATCTACGAGTTGCACAATTTCTAGTTGGACCAAAAATTGTTTGATTCACTTGATTGTTTCGTTGTCAATCTGTCACCATAAGCAATCGATACTGAACATAAATATTTTTGTTTAATGGGCAGTGGGTGTAACTGAATTATAAACCACTGAATTATGGTGCATTTTGTATCCAGATGATAAAATAAGCACAAATAAATTCTCAAAAGTGATGAATAATATAACAATGATTACGTTATCGGAAGTAATGTTTGTGTAGATGACACAATGGTATTTATTTAACAAGAATAAAGCAGTTAACATATGCAATGGAAAGTAAAGCCCCACCTATATACATCATACATCATTCGAAAAGTATTTGTTGGTTCAAGTTTGATTTGAGACCTGCACTTGTTATGTGAAGTTGTGTGATACGCCGTCAAGGCGATAAACGCTTTACAAAACGACGTTGGAAGCGATTATTGATGAATCTCCTCAGTGATCGACCAAAAGCCGTCGCTAAATTAAGCACAAAGCAAAGGTTCACAAATAGATGGTCGACAGTGGAAAAATACCACTGAATGGCTTCACTTATTGATGAGCATACACACATTAGCGAAAATGTCGTGTATGTAAACAAAAGCCGCCAACTTATGGCGCAATATTTTTCCGTTCTCACACATTAATGAATGTTAATCATGTTAATAAAATAAAGCGATGATCCTGTCGCATCTAACTCAATCGTTTAATCTATAAATACATTACACACTTTCGATTGAACTGCTTCAGTCTCAATAGGGTTCAAACTATTTTTGTCTGGGTTTAGCAACCTTTGACTTTGAATTTGGAATTTTTCCATCATTAAATTCAGTATTCGTATTGAACAATTAATCATTTTGCTTTTGCGTTTTCTCTTATTTGCATGGAACGAACATTATTCAATTTTAACGCGTTTCCCGCTATACCATTTAAACGTATCAAACGAATTAACCCGCACATACATATAAATACACGATTAAATTATATTATCAAGAAAAATCTTGTGCTTGAGTTTTCACTGTCAGTATGGAAAAATGTCAGGCATAAAAATTGAAGTTCAAGGTTTATTTCGCTTATTTGCTTTGTTCACTTCCCTCGCTTTAATTGCGTCATTTGATGCAACAAAGAGTTATGGTAGATGGAAATAATGTGATGAAATAAGAACGTATGCTGTATTGTGGTATTTGTTCGGTAACACAGTTAAAAAGAGGAAGCAGTAGAAAATGCAATCGAAGGTTTCAATTTGATGAATATTTTTAGACGTAATTTTGAATGTTAGGATGGATTTCCTTATCGTATTTTTTTATACTAAAAAAAATACACCACGCAATTCTTTTTACTAAAAAATACACCAAAGCACAATAATATTTTCAGCAAACAGAAAAATTGTTTTACATCAAAATGAATCCATGAAATCTCAAAAAAAAATTCATTCATATCATAAAAATATGATCAGTATTACTATCTATTATGCTGATAGAATGTTTCGATATGAATACGATTAAAGCCTTAAAACTGTTATTCTAGTGTTGCTAAGCTATTAAACTGCGTGGGCAAATAGTAAAGTAAATAGTTTGATTGAATTACATTACACAATGTCTTGCATCACCCGGGAATGCTATAAGCATATGCAGTGAAATTTTCTCCATATTCCATTCGGAACCCTTAAAAGTAATAGTCCTATACTTATGGTATAATTCGAAAACAAACATGTTTATTGTCTCGAAAGCTCGGTCGTTTTTCGCATAATTTGGTAGCATTAGAAGATTCCCATTGTAATATGTTTCTTCCCAAGTTTTGTTTGCACGGGTCAATGTCTTACATTGTTATACATAATAATAGTCCATGAGTTGGAATTTGTTAGCACCCCAATACGAGGATGGCATTTTTGGTTTCGGGCGTCGGATATTTTACAAAAGTTTAGTGAACTCTGGTTCGGCCATATATATAGTTTCAATGGTGTGATTTTTAGTATATTTGAACAAAAATAGGCTTTGTTTTAAATTTTTCCAATGATTGCGGCCGAAAATCAAATAAAAATTTGTGGTAACCGAATACCGAAAAAAAAATAAGCGAAACATCATAATAAACGGTCTATGTGTGTCTAATCTACGATGCAAATGTAAAAAAATCGAGTATCGTGGGTACCAATATTCAATATCTGTATGTAAAAAGTGAATTGTTGTCCGTTCGAAGTCAAGTTCAAGGTTATATTTTAATGCTATTATGATATATGCGGGTTCAACTTAGCTTGTGAACATTATTCGCAAATGAAAATTCATTTTGAAAGTACTGAATGTCTGTATATTTATTTTGTGTTGAAATTTATGCGTTGATTCGAACACATTTGCTTACTATCGTTCACACCAATCGGGTTGATAAAACAGTGAGGTGAGCATGTATGCATTGAATTAATGACAATGCCAAATTAATTCGATTCTTTCATCCATTATTGATAACCTGATTAGCTGGCTGTTGTCTCATGCATGAATTGATTTATTGTACATCGTTGCACGATGCCAATCATATGGATAGAAGATTAGTAGGTCAAACCAGACTATTCGCTAAATAGAATGCAAAGTAAACTTTTTTTATCTATCGAAAACTGGGTTACGCATTGAGTCCACTCTTATTATCTCTTCCCTCCCAATCTCTCTGAAACGTTCAGTGTGTCTATCACTTTCTTCGTTTATATTTGCTGTCACGAAACGTAATGCTAGAAAAACACCAGTCGGAATAAATGTTAAGTGAAAATCGCTTTTCGTCTTGCATTGAAATTCAATATCGGAGCTCGTTAATAATTCCAGCAGATTTGAAATCATATTGGACAAAAATGCATGGTCATTAAACAATCGTAATCCAATATTATATACATTTGAGTTATGAAGATCAATATTTTCCTCTCTTTTTTGGTATTCGTTGTGGACACCAATTCTAATTACTTACCCATCGTAGTGAAGCTTAACATTCGAAGCGGGAGAGATATTAATTGGTACTCTGTTGTTGTTGTTGTTCATTTGTCATTTGTTGTGTTTAACAAGTGTTAAATTACAATTAACGTTCGTGCATGAAAGTCTAGACATAGACAAGTTCACTATATGTATGTTGTAGTAATATCAATATTATAAAACATCATTGATTGCAAAGTGCGATATTTTCCCATTGTGAAAAGATTTTAATGCAAATTGCATACACGTCGAGAGTGATACACATACGGAATTTCTTACATAATAAGGAAGCCATTTGACATTGCATCATATGATAGGTTTATTCGATAACATTATATTGTGTAAATTATATCATTTTATTACATCATACAATAGAATATTTATTTGAGTGAGAAATGAACATCATTGTTATTACAGAATTGATATTAGAAGTATATTCAAAGAAATTGGCGGAAATATATATGTAACAATTGTATTGAATGATTTGTATTTATTCGATTAAAGTAGTGGTGAGAATGGCATTGCATACAGCGTATGGGTCGCAGTTGGAGCTTGGTCGACGATCTTGAAAAATAAAAAGAATTTTAAGCAAATGATTTTTTTTTTATTAAATTTTGAATATTTGAATTACCTTCCAAATAACCTTTGCCCGCGTTGGCAACGCTACGAGAAATTCGCACCTGTGTATGAGTGAAAAAAAAGACGATTCGATTGAAAATTTCAAAAAACACACAATGAAGAATGTATTAACTTACGCTTGATCCACGGTCAGCAACACCCCATGAAAATTTATCGATGGACGAAGTTTCCAATGCGCCAATCAATCGTTCGGCATTATATGCACCACCTCGTGGATCATATGCTTTGATGTGTTTATCATGTTTCTTTGACAGTTTCTCAATGGCAGCTAATACGATGATTTACAAAAAAAAAACAAATATTATCCATCAAAACGCTTTATACGTTATATTATGTAGTAATAGTGCAAACCTTCAATTGCCTTAATTCCACCATCTTCGCGCATCGCTTTCGTTGAAAAATTTGTGTGTGCTCCGGCACCGTTCCATGCTCCTTTTATGGGTTTTGGATGAAATGTAACGACAATACCCAATTCTTCAGCGATACGCCACAAAATGTAACGTGAAACCCATAAATCATCGGCAGCCTTCATGCCAAGCGATGGACCCACTAGATTGATCAAAATAATAAATAGTTCATTTGTACTCTAAGATGAGTTTAGATAAAAAAAAAGAAAGAAAAACAAACCTTGATATTCCCATTGTGCGGGCATCACTTCAGAGTTTGTGCCAGCAAAATCGATACCGGCATATAAGCAAGCCAATGTATGCGCTTCGGCTAAATCACGGGCGTAAACACGGTTTGCGCCAACTCCACAATCTAAATTTAGAGACAAATCAACAAATGTCTTCAATCTCATGCAAGCAAGTCATTCCGATGCATTTAAATAATTTTAGACATTTTACTTACAATATGGACCTTGCGGTGCTGGGAACCCATTTTCAGGCCATCCAAACGGTCGTTCGTCGATGTCAAGCAATGTGTATTCCTGTTCAATTCCAAACCATGGTTCATGTTGTTTCGTTTTATCAACGGCATCTTGCATGAGGTAGCGGTTATTGCTTTCAGTTGGTGATCCATCTGGTTTGTATGTATCGCACACAACAATAACATCACGTTCACCGACCTTGAATGGATCTTTATAAATGGCGCGTGGTATCAGTGTTGTATCGGAATTTCCACCAAGCGCCTGATATGTTGAGCTACCATCATATTGCCACGATGGCAGATCTTCGACACGGTCTGGTGCACGATTCAAAATGCGATCCTTTAAACGAATATTTTCGCCAGTGCCATCAATCCACAGATAAGTGGCTTGAATTTTACTTGGATCATATTTTAGTTGACGATATCGATTCAGCACCGATTTATCCAAGTATGCATTTGGGCTGTTCGATAAGAATTTTGTACGACATTCCGATGTAGACAGCATTCTCACACTTTTTACTCCGCTGGTGCGTTGAACCGTTAGAACATTCTTTAAGAATACACCAACACAGCGTTGCATCGACATTTTGGATTGAACAAAATTTTAGTTCGACAAGAAATAAAAAATCACACGCTCACAAATTTCACGTAAATTTACTTTTGCCTTTGATAATATCAACGAAAATTTCAGAAAGAAATACTATTTTATGGCTGGTAATAAATGGAAGCGTATTTTTTAATTTTAAAATGGAAATTGATGACAGAAAAATTATTATCAGACAAAAAAAATTGTTTTGGTTTCTCTTGCACCACGTTTTTGTACGAAGACGCAGTGAGACTACATATTCATTTCGATACACACTCCCAACAAAAAATGCTCACACAGCGTCGCACAAATACACAAACACGCGCACACTCTGACTTTATTTGTGTTGAAAATATGTTGTCTGGTTTTATTTTGTTCTCGCGCGCGTACACTGATTCCTGAAACTCCAAGCAAAAGCAACGATACTAAACATAAAGATCCAAATTGTGTTCTCGTTACAGTACACGCACACACAGAGAGAAAGCGACGACGTTGTTTGCTTCTTGGAAAATTGATTTAGCAACGTTAGCATTTACAAACAACAGCTGATTGAGGTAATACACTACAAATACATGCATAACTTTACGCATGCACCGTTTAACTTTGGCGATTTTGTTTATGTGTAGGAATAGCATTCTGTGTTTCTGTTCACAACTCATCTGAAACACTAGCCATTTGGGTTCTTCTTTTTTTAAACGTCAAATTGGTTACTCTTATATTTCGCTTGCTACACACACTTTCAATGCGTTGCGATTTATTTTTCTCGTCTTTTTTTTTTCAAATTACATTCGTTACGATAATGAATCCATTTGCGTAACTGGATACAATTCAATCTTGAAATAACTTCGATATTAAAATAAAGACGTTTCGAGAAAAAGAAACATACAAACACAAGCACTTTTTATCTTCTTTCCACAGCGAAATCATTGTCCTTTATAATTCCGCTGTGTTTATCGTTCTGAATTCGCATAAGTTTAAACTGGTTTCTGACAAAGAAATTTCAATTCATTTATTCTTCTCTTTTGATGATATAAATTTAATTTTTTTTTTTCGTTGTTCGTATTATGTTGAAATCCCTTCGGTTCAGAACAGGTTTTGTTTGCCGTCGAAAATTGAAAAATAAATGTATTAAACTGAACTGCCGAAAAGTGAACGGTTCGATGAACTTCCATTCCGCACAAGCCAGTGGATTGACTATAAAATCACCAATAATGCCAATCAACTATGAATACAATTCATTTTCTCATTTTGCTATTGTTACATCGATTAGGTCTGGATTTTTTCTTTCTCCCCTTTTGAAAATGTCATATAAATAAGCACCCACTCTATTATGGTGGGTGTAACAAATTGATGTTATATAATTTATAGGGTTTTTCAATTAATTTAGCGATAATCAAGTAGCAACATGTAGTTAACCTAATCAATTTTGCTTTTGATTTGCTTCATTCGATTTGATTCGATTAAATAAGATTTAAATCATATTCATGGGTTTGTGCGTACAATACGCTTGTGTTTTCATTTGTTTAAAAATCAAAATTCATACAACAAACTGTTTGGATTTTTATGACACGCGCGCGTGAAAGCAACCGCAGAAAAAACTTATTCGTCTCATTACAGCATCGTCAATATACTTTGTTGTTGCCATTGTTTCCAATTGATGATACATGCTGTGACTTTGTTACCAGAAAGAAGTTCAACATGCATATCCATCGTCAAGATCACTTGATTTCCATTACATAACCACTTACGTAAATTCAATACGCATTTACTCGTTACATACTCACTGTTCTTGTTCGATGCATAGTAGTTTTTGCTTGTGCTGCGAAACTTTGGCTGGAAACCTTTCAATATTTCAACCTCATCATCAATGCAGGTGTAGTAATTATAATCAAAATAGAAAGTGAGATAGAGAGAGACCAATCGCCCGAGGATGAAATACAACTGCGTCATTGTTACAACACATGAATCGATTGAAAGAGATAAATATTTGATCGTAAATAATTTCGTCAACTGTTCGCATGTTAGCAACAAACATATGTGGAAGGCAGATTTTGATTTGATGTGATCTAATGCATTGTCCAAACCACCGAATTCTTGCTGTGTGATGACGTCGTTACAAGTGCGTAGTCTAAATGACAAACCACATATCTCTGCACTTATCAAAATATTTATTTGGTCGAAAACGATTCACATGACATATTATCTTTTTCATTCGACAGAAATGGAAGATTATACGCCTACAGTCCAAACATAGAATCAAAATATATCAATTAACTTGATTAGAAGTTATATTAAGACGAAAAAAATGCCGACCATTGCAAATAATTGTAAGCAAGATTATTTCATTTTCTTTTCGTCACCCCCTTAACTTTATATGGTTATTCGTTCTGATTTCTTAAGAACTCGTGTTCCATAATACAATTGCAATGATTAACATAACCGATAAAGAAAGACTATAGTCTTTATATAAAAATGAAAATATGCATTACGAATAGAAGGAGTTTGCCAACAGCATGGCACACCATGTTGTTAGAGAGCACGGTTATAATTGAAAGAATTCACCTCGTGGCAATCATAATGAATATAATAAAATGTCTTACATCCGTAAGATGAACTTTTCCGCACTGTGATCCACAACATGCTTTTATTACAAATCTTTCACTCAAAGAATTCACGAGAAAACTGAATCTGACATTAGTTTTACGATACAAATAATTTTCGAAGCACTTTTCATACAAAAACTACTAAAAATGGGAATTTTTGTATCGGAGCCATGCCTATATGATATCGTAATCATGTGAAAATTTGCAGAGGTCATTTTTTCACAAAAAGTTAACATTCTGAAAGTTTGAAGAAATTTCAATGCATATTAAGGGTACTTCCCATACAAAATTTCGTTTTTTAGCGAAAAATCCAAAATGTTGTTCGGGAGTTACCCCTAATATGCATTGAAATGTCTTCAAACTCTCGGAATGTTATTTTTGTGTGATAAAAATAAGCTATGCAAAGTTTCAGCTCATTACGATATCATACAGACATAGATAATACATAAATTAAATTTTTTTGAAATTTTTGTATGAAAAATGTGTCGAAAGTTATTTGTATCGCAAAAATAACGTCATATTCGGTTTTCTCGTACCCAAAAAGCGTACAGGGTACCCTGGCTCCTAAAACACCCAGAAAACATGTTTTTTGAGGGTGTTAATTTTTCGACCGATTCCTATACTTTACCTTACACACTAGGTGTGTGCGGAAAAGTAAAAAAAGATTTCCTTTCATAATTTCAATTTTACAAAAAATCCACTAAAAAAAGATCGTCATTCTTCAATTTGTTATTTAATCGATGTCATGTGTTTCAAAGACCAACAATGAAAAAACAAAAAAATTATTACGGCTTTAGATAGTCGAGCGCAGATTTTCTTTATGCATTTAAAATAAATTCTTTTGACTGAATTTTCTTCGAATGCTAAGTGATATCACCAATTGATGCAAATATAATTAGCAAATTCAGAAGATTCAAAATAAAATAAAAAAAATGAACAAAATGATATGAATGAAAAAAATGTAACGCATATTTCATATTAGATAAGGATAAAGTAATAGAAATGAATTCATTAGTTTTTTCAACGAATTTAAAAGAAAACGCAATAAATGTCATGTCTGGATGAGAATTGGATAAGTCGAAAACACTCATGTCGTATCGACAGCAATCTATATTATAAAAACGAAAATTCGTCAAATGAAGCAATTGACAACGAACGATGTATATTGACAAGGATATTTACTAAGAAAATATTAAACGCAGTTAAGTTAATGCGATTATAAAATATATATATAATTCAAGGCCAAAATCATGTTTCGATGGGTTCGTACTTGAAAATGATTGCAACATTTATCATAAAATATGCGAATATGATTGTTTCCAGCGTTTTTTTCTTCATTTTTTTATGCGGTTTTTATCCTATTTAGTGTTTGTGGATGACACTTCGATTAAATGCAATTGTAGTCTGCGAAAAAAAAGAATTGGAAGGGAAATCGAAATATTTGCAAGACAGTCAATCAAATGGGTTTCATAAGCGAAAATACATTCGATTGGTTTGAAAAAAAACAAGAGCTGCCTGTTCTTCAATTACCTTTTCTTGAATTAAAATGTCATCATATAATATGAGTCTTTTCTTTGTTTAGAAGAAATATTGTTGAATGACACTGTATGTGTACACTAAAAAAATATCATGCAGTATGAAAGATGAAGTGGTTAAACCATTTGGCATAAATGATTATCAGACAAAAAACCGTGAGTCAAAAAAGGTCATTGATACCCAATCAATTAACCAAATAATCAAATATTTTGTATTAGAATGACAAACAAATCAGCATGTAAAAACCACTTAATAATTATATCGACTTTTGAAGGGTTCATGAACCCTCTGAATTTTCACAATTCGGTAACAAATGAAAAGTTTTGAGTTGTCGCAAGTGAAAGCCGACACAATAATCCAAAGCAACAATGGCATCAAAAATGCCAGAACGCCAAAATCATCCATATACTATATATTACCGTAGAAATTTGCGGTGATTCATGAAAATGACATTATTGGAGCGATAAACAACGGCTGAGAATGCAACGAATAGAAAAACAACTCAAAAGCTGCTGTCTTTTGCATTGTAACCGCCGCCAATATAATTACATTTCAGAAAATTTCATTGTGTTTGTATTGTTTTGCTGTGTGTGTGTGTGTGTGTGTGTGTGTGTGTGTGTGTGTGTGTGTGT